TAAGCTCATCTGATTGTGGTCTTTTGTCGATATGGCGTGCAATCGATGAAGTCGCCCACTGTCAATCTTTCGCGTGTGCCCTGGAAACGTTAGGACAAAAAAAAAAAGAGGAAACGTGTTTCCTTGTCTTCTGGCGTTCCTGACAGTGTTCGAATGTCACTGCAACCTTTGAGCTGGCTAAGTAGGAGACCATGCGATTCCTGTAGAGATAGCCGCCTCTTCGTGCATGAACTATTTTTTGCGATTCCAAGCCCTCTCACCACAGTAGTGATGTATTAAATTAGGCGATAAAGCCGTGTTATATTTTAGCTTAAAGGCCTGCCGCCAGTGCTCCACCTCGCATGAGAGAGAGAGAGAGAGAGAGAGAGAGAGAGAGAGAGAGAGAGAGAGAGAGAGAGAGAAGAACACCACTGCACCTTTCAGCGGATACGTTTACACACTGTGGTTGCCCCATTCCTATGGATACCACGGTCGCCACATGTAGCGGCCGCAGTTTGGGAATGTGAAGGCACGCTCCTTACGCTGTCACACCGCTGCAAAGCTTCCATTGCTTTAAAGCGAAGCCAAAATGAAACAATAAGTTAGTTTATATTGATAAAATAAAATTTAATGTCATCTATCGTCCTACATCTACAGTGCTATTGATAAGAAAAATCAGTGTGGACTGTCAAATTTCCAGCTAAAATCTTCGATAGTGATGTCGGGTATTTTAAGGTGTTTTTGTGCTTTTCAACAAATTGGCTCAACGAAATTTCCCGTAACATGGTACGTTAAGCCTCTGGCTGCCTCATAAGACAACGCACTTTGTTTTTACCGAATGGGAACTATACGCAGGCCTGTCGTCAAATCTATGGCGTATTGGCGACTGGTGTGTGAGCGTCTATAGGTCGCTTTGCATGCTATATATACTCGCACTTTGTATGTATGCGTGTATATAGTGTCAGGTGTGGGGTGGGGCTCTTACTATATAGCGTCTTTACGCTACGCGGCAAGCGTGGTGACCCTGCTGTAGTAACAGAGTAGTTGACTAATACAGAAAGAGTCGTTCTCCACTTTAGTACACCTTTAAGTAATGCCTCGGATTCGCTATAGCTGCTTGTTCACGAGCCGGATAAAGACGCAACTCCGCACTTTAGCACTGGCATTAACAAAGTTGACGGTACTGGCAACAACACAGAAGAAGGATAACAAGAAACACGTAAAAAGCATCAGCTGAATTCTGCGCAGTGTTCCCGGGCTTGTTTGTTGACACGTTAGGCTAGTTCGGCCGCGGGTTCTGGTGGACACGGAAGTGGCGTGTCAAGTGTATAAAACAAAAATCTTATAAGGTGCCGCGGACGGCTTCTTCGCATTACTGAAAGTACGCACTAGAAAATTACTCGTAATATCACAGGGTTCAATATGGTAGGATACTCATCGGCTCGTAGCCGATATCTGTGTGATAGGCCGACTTATCTTCATCAGTTTTGACGAAAGCAAAATCCATGACATTTCTGCCCAAACATTGTTGACAAAGTCAGATCTCCGTATTTCGGCATTTTCCTTGTTCAACTGTTTACTGTATCTGTAACAGAAGATTTAAAAGAAGCGAGATCATGATAGTCACAATCTTTGGCCGATTATTTTTAATGTCCACTGTGGTACAAATGTCCGGCCTCGGTCAGTTTCAACCTCGCCGATGAGCTCTTGTGTATTACATTAGCGTTTATAGTACACACATGGCTAAGGCTGGTCGTGCGACAGGAGGCGTTGCCTGGACTCAGGACCCGTACCCTGCATGAGCTCTCTTGTTAAATAAAGACGTCCATTCTATCTCCACGTGATGTTCCCTTTGCCCCATCTTGTGCGAACTAATTCTATTTTGTGCCTGCGAACTTCCTAATTCCATTTTACCTCATAATCATCTGTCGTCCTCTTCTGCGCTTCCAGTCCTTTGATTGCTATACCGTTAGGTTGCTATGACTGCCACCACCAGTTGTCGGTCACACACAAACCGCATGGCCTGTTTGAGTACACTTTCATTCGCTTAATTTCGCATGTAATATAGGCTACACCTGTTTGATCTCTTACCCATTCTGCTATTCTCCAGTCTCCATTACGCAGTTCACGTTCTGTTCCATCGCACGCTGCAGTATAGTCATTCAATTTTCGATTTTTTTTTTTGTATCCCGCATATTTCTGGCCTGCACGTTAGTATCCGCAAAATGCGATGGTTGTCATATATAGAGCAGAAGCGTACATGTGGCCTAATAACGAAGACACAATTCCTACAGTGTATAGTAAACTGCATTCATTCTTCGGGTGTAGTGCAAATTATCTGCCATCTTTAGCGTCCTTGCACAAAATTGCCGTCGCACGTAAATTCGCGGAAAATCCACATTTGCTTCCAACACGGGGTGCCCTACATTTGATATACAAATATCAAAGTCGCAAATGTGGTCTCTAACAGCGGGTTGCTGTAACTTTATTACCTTCCTGCCGTTAATCGTTTGTTTCGGAAGCGTTTACCGCTGACCAGACTAGTACATTTGCGGCGCATGCTATAGATATATATGGTACTGTAGTGGTCGATATATCATTTGATAGCGAGTAAAGTTGCACGCGTAATGTAGGATTCGCAGAAAAAGGAAATCGCAGTCTGAGTGAGCGCTTGGACGAGGAAATATGTCATTGCAGTCCCTTTCTTTAACGAAATATAGATAAGATAAGATAGATAGATAGACAGATAGATAATAGATAGATAAAGCCATGAGAATTCACTGATGGAAAATTTTCACTGCAGTTCTAGATAGATAGATAGATAGATAGATAGATAGATAGATAGATAGATAGATAGATAGATAGATAGATAGATAGATAGATAGATAGATAGATAGATAGATAGATAGATAAAGCCATGAGAATTACTGATGGAAAATTTTCACTGCAGTTCTGCACAGTCCGTACAGTCCGGCGCTCCATGTACGTACAGTCCGGTGCTCCATGTACGTATTCACATGATTTCAGTTCTTCCTTTTCAATGTTGTGAAATTGCCCGGTATATTTGCTTAAAGCAGAAACATGAAGGTTTTGCACAACGCTAAATTGAACGATCGTGCTGAATCAGACTTTTGAAGCCTTTTTAACGTAAAGGAATTGTCGAAGCAACCGAAAACACAAATGAGAGGACAGGCATTAAATTGCGCATAATCCATACGCCTTGGACGAACCGTGAAATGTGTGAAGCTCGTTGCATCCGACGCCGGCACGTTACTATTATTTTCTTTTTCGAAGGCCGGCCAACTGCTCTTTGTTCGCAGGACAACTCGATCTCCTTTTCGCTACTGGACAACCGCGAAACAAGACCGCGGCAAGCGAACTGCTGTGTTTTCGGCGCCCCAACGCGCGATGAACGCAGCCACGGATGTTGCACACAACGCGAAACTTTTGCATATTTTGCGCGCTCGTTCAGAGCAGAAAAAAAAATCAGGAGCAGATGTACGACGAACCGAAATCCGCCACGTTTTGCGTAACTCTAACGCTAACCGAAATAAAATAATAGGAAAAAAAAAGCTTGCTTGCATACGTGTAGGCCGACCCTTTTTGTGTGTGCGTGTCTTGCACTTCTTTTCGTTCGGCGGTTCTCATTTTGTACGTGTTTGCTTGCGCGTTGCGCCTGGCATGGGATAAGTATCCGGCTATGTATAACTCAGTTGAGTATACGGTCCCCCCCGGGCGTCCCTTTCCTTCTCTTCTTTCCCCGCCACTCTTTCGCTTCGCCCTTCACCCTCTTTCCTTCCGAATCCCGGCGTTGCAGCTATCCGTCTCTATATATCTGGCACCCCTCCCTCCTTCGGCAGCGTTCGAGAAAGAGATGGAAAGAAAGGAGGAAATAAAGGCGCCGTCGGAAAGAGATATACAGAGTGGCATGGATAGAGAGATGAAGCGAGGAGGGAAAGAAAGACAAAAAACGAAAATTTTCCGTCGGTGAGACGACGACACACAGTTGTCGAAATGAAAGAGAAAAAAAAGAACGAACGGCGGATGATGGAACGAAATAAAGTAGACAAAGAAAAGGCGTCCGCGCGCCATGTCGAATAAAGGGATATGAAGAAAAGAAGTGAAAGATGAGGTCCACACGAATGTGAGCAATGGCGGACACGGTGGCACGTTCGAACTTGAAGAGGGTCTTTACGAATGATGAATTTCCTCGCTGAATTTTTAGCGAGTTTAAGTTTATCGCGCAAAATCGGTTATTCTCGTGTTTTTATAAAGAGTTTCTCTAAACAGTATGCACTTCTGCGTGCGTTTGAATAGACCTTTAGATTTTAGTTGATGTAGGAATAGACACTGTAGCCGAGCTGTCCACTTTTACTGCTTTTTGAGCATCGAGTGCACTTCTGTTGACGCTCTAGTGACCTAAAGCGACCGAGTTGTGCGAAATCTCATTCATTTGCTCTGAGAAATGAATGAAAATTTCATTTGCAGAACTTTGGGCAAGTTTGGGGGTGTGATGCTTGTACCATTACTCTCAGAAGCAACAAGTTAATTGGAAGACGCGCGTGAAGACACTAAGACGTAATTAGCTGACAGTTGCTATGCGGTGCGGAGGATGGGGTTGAAATAGGCGAATGGCACTTGCCGATCGCGGCGTCTTTGTCAAAACGCATGACAAGTCGCACTTTTAAAGATATGCGTAATGACTGTGTTACGTAACAAGACAGTCGTAACTTCGACTCCTGACAAAGCGGACATGGGTTTTAGCGAGGTCCGAGTAGCGTCGCGTCGTCTCCGAAAACGCGCCGGCATAGCCGTAGGCCATTATTGCCAACTGCGATCACGTGGTATCATTTTTGGCGCTTGTTTTCTTTTGCAACTCTCTCGCTTTTCTCCTCTCTCAGCCACCAGTAGGGTTGCCTGCTTGCTAATATTTGTGGGATATCTGATGACGTCACCGAGCGCATGCGCAAACGCACACTGAGCGCGCGCTCTGTCGTGCGTCCCCCCCCTTTGCCTTCATAGCATTTTCCTCCTCTACTTTGTTGCAGGAGCGAGAAGGGAGGGTGTGAGAAAATAACGTAGACATCTTTACGCCGATAGTCTTCTGTGTGGTGCCCCCCCGGCCAACTTGCGCGCTCTCCGGCCCCCTGTGAAAAAAGTATTCGGGGACACGTTTCGGCGTTGTGCAAACTGCTATGCCCGCGCCTTCCGGAGAACAGTCAGAAGACCAGGAGATGGCTACCGAAGAAGCGGAAGACGATTCTTTAGCCGGTAAGCGATGATGCGTTGGGCGCTTTTTGTGTGTGCTACCTGTCGTGGACCCCCCCTTCGTGCTTGCCGGTCGCTCGCTTGATAGCTAGCCGGCTGCTCGATATGCACTTCACCCGGCGTCCCTTCACCGCCCGCGTTGTCGCCAGGACATGCCTCGAGCACGCCGCGAGCGTCAGCGAGCGCAGTCGGTGCCGTCGAAGCGAATTCGGAAACGCCGAACTTTCGCGCCCCGTTATCCCCCTGATCGCGCTAGGCTTAGTAAGCCGTACGGCAGCGGACGCGAAGCGCTCCCCTGCTTGCCTTTTCTTTTTTCCCGACCCGGCGTCTTTCGGCCGAGCACATGGGTCTGTTTTGGTGTGCGCGCAATCCGATGTCTGTTGACGGGTGTCACGCCGGTGTTTCTTCGAAGTGCACGTTGGAGTGGTCTTTGAAGCTCAACGAGACCCGGGCCCCCGATTTTTTTTTCTTTGCTTTTCGGTGCATGTCGCCAATGGAGGAAGACGGCGGGATAACTATCCGGATATGTATATCTCATTATCATATTGATCTGAACCTCGGAACGAGGCTAAGCTGGAGCGTTTTTTCCAAAATGGCTGTTTTTGTTACGTTTTTATAAAACTGTCAGAATGAAATTTTGTTTGGATTCGTCGTTTCGCTTTTTTTGTTTCTTCCGTTTGTAGGGGGGGGGGGGGGGAGCTTTATGGATGGTCCTAACGTGGCGCCCCGAACGCTACTGCGCGTTTGCACGCGTTTGGGTGGCCACCGCCACCTAAGGACCGGTTCCTTATTTTTACATTTTCTTTCACATTTCGGTGCTTAGAGAGTTACGCTGTTGGCACCTCAGTCCAGTCCCGGACCTCAACTTTTTGCCTTGAATGGCGATTACGTCGCGTTCGTGTGCTCGCCACTTTGAATGAAACGCTATACGGCGATGAAGAAATAAAAAAAAAGGAAAGAAAAAAAATCGTGAAATGACGCCACGGTGACGAAGAGCTAACCAGAGTTCCTGCTTGTCTAGGCATGCAAATTCACGGGTGTCAGCATATTGCGACATTTGTAACTGACTGCACTGCCGTGTCATTTCGCTGTGCGGCAGGCGAGATATCGGGATGTGCTTTTCTCGCTAATGCTTCGCACGGCTTCAGTTGTGACGCGCCACATTAAATGCATTTTGACCACGATGCAAGGTGTGATTGCATGTGCGCTGTTCACACCGAACGCCGTCGTTCGTGATCGTTTAAGTGCACTTCGTGATTTCTGCTGATGCCAAAACACTTTTTTTTTTTGCGAAGGGCGGTTGCGTACGTACCTCCTTTTCTAGATTTTCACCGATGTGATTAATCGAACGATTTCAAAGTGCGAGTCCATTAAACACATCGTAATCTTTGATGTCGTGCTAAATCATCGTGCATGCTTGCTCAGTATATTTAAATATTAAGCCCATTGCCTGGCAGGCGCTTCAAGTTGCCAAAAGCGGGTGTTCTGTGATAACACGCTACATTTTCGCATGCTTTCAGAGACACGGAAGCCGAAATTTTTACTTGATTAATGTGTCATCTTGTGTTCCGCACAGATTAAACTGTCTGATTAGCTGTCGATGGCAGCACAGTTAAAATTAGCAGCCTCTCATCCTTTGGGACATTGCTTTTGCATGGCGTTGGCTAACAGTGCATTAGCTACATCGACAAACCTCGCTGGAGGTACAGTGCATTCAGTGATGCAGTGATTCTTCAATTTTCGTCGAATACTTTTGGAAAGGTACTTTATGGATTGGCTGTACATTTGTAATGACTACATATTCTGCAAGTTTGTTCCATTTCATGTACCGCAGCCACATTTGTGAGGGCATGCTTCTGTCTTTGAATGGCAATTGTTCGGTCGTGTAGCTTTCATACATCCATACAAAGCTATTTCTCAGCCTTAAGCATACTTGCAGTGACTGTTCATAAAGAAAGATGCGAGATTTATGCTACAATGCTTACTACTACAAATCTGCGTCTTTTCAAATGACGCCAGTACAAACTCTTACACACACCATTTCCCCGCCGTGCTGTTCTAGTGACTGAGGTGCTCGGCTGCTGACCCCATGTCGTGGGATCAAATCCCGGCTGAGGCGGCTGCATATTCGATGGAGGGCGAAAATGCTGTAGGCCTGTTTGCTCAGATGTGGGTGCACGTTAAAGAACCCCATGTGGTCGAAATTTTTGGAGCCCTCCACTACGGTGTCTTTCATAATCATACGGTGGTTTTGGAACATTAAGCCCTTCGTATTAGATCAGTTACACACACCATTTAACTTTCGTTTCATTATTAGAGATGGTAGGCATGCAACACAGACATGAGAGAAGTTGGGACAGCACCAGCGCCATACTTCTCTTATGTGTCCATGCTGCGCTCATGTCCTTACTTACCATTCCTAGCATCTAACTAAGCTTTCTTTGATTCTATACTTTTTTTTTGCATGAATTGAATACCAAGAGGCATATGAGCACTTGGCTCAGCTTGGCACCTTCATATCCAGTCATTAAGCTTTGAAGATAATGAGTCCAGTCTGCTAGAATGAGTCATAAAGAAAACAGTGTTTGAAGGTGCTTGGTTAGCAGTGTTTTTGAATGACAGACCTGCTTTTCTGTCGATATCTCATCATAATTTAGCTCATAATATTGATTGTACAACATTTAGTTGTTCAATAACTGACCTGTCGGAATGAAAGGCAGGCTGCCTGTATGCACGATGTTCTGTCACTAAAAGATAGAACAAATGGTAAATTTAACCTTGATGTCTTGGTAAACTCTGTGTTGCAATGTCAGCAAACTTAATGTGAAGTGTCACGACACGACTAGCAGGCTAGTGGAAATAGGTTTGCTATCTCTCGTATCCCTTCTAACTGTTGCATATTTCATTGATGGTGACACTCCTACTACTGAGTAACACGAGTAGCCGCTTACCTCTTACAAAATTGTGTGTGCATGTAATGCAATTGTCTTATTTCCTTCGATTTATTTTGTTCACTTGGGCTGTTCTCTTTCAGCAGAGTGGTAAACATACTTATAATGGTTGGCTAAAGACATTTTTGCAAATAATTGTAGGTGGCCAGGAATTACGGCGAGATATCGGGGCCATCTTGATGCAGACATGTAGTTTCTGCACAACTGCATGTTCTATGCGTGTGAATACTTTCTATAAAATACTGTTATAAAGAACACAACAAAATGTTGACATACCATCGGCAGCTATGTTGTAGCTCGCAGACAACCAGCCAGCAAGTCGAGTGTAAATTGCGGTCAGTAGCTTAGACTGGGATGTTTTCCAAGAATGCCGAATGGTGTCTAGCTTATCATCTTAATATTATATTAAAGCAACACTTTCTTTGACTCTTATGTCCATTTTGGTGCTTGCTTCTGTCGTCTTGTCGAATAAATAAAAAATTAGCCTATAGGAATGTCGACTGCAATTTAGTTCAGTGTCTTCGAATAGGTGCGTCGGATTTCACTGCAACTCGAGGCATGTAGAAGCCATAAATTTGTTTGGTTTGCCATTGCATTCAACGCTCGTCCGTCGATGAGCATAGTGTTTGTCTTCATGGCACAGGAATTTGAAAGCTTCAGCTGACCAGGCCGTTACCTCGCCCATTGTTCACACTATCTCATTAACTTGGACAAGTGTTGTGTCATTTACTATTCCTTTGATTCGGTTAAGTTTCTCTCCACCTTCTGCACTTATTCACAGTGTGCTGTACCTAAGCCCTCATTTTTTTCCTGAGCTATGGTGGTGCGGCGCACCCTGTACACTCGTCCTTAATTGTTCATTGTGCAAACGAAGTTGGTGTTGTGCATTCTTAAGCTTACAAAGGCCAGGCACAGCCCAGTGCACCACAAGCTGCACTTGCACCTTTTTTGAATTGAACAAAGCTTTAGTGAGGATGTGAACAAACATTGCTAGACATGGGATAGTGATGGAACTGCATCAGTGCCTTGTCTGTCATCCTATCACCATTGCATGTATATTAGAAAGGCAGAGTTCAAGGGAAGGTAGAAGTTTGAAGTGGATGAAAAAATAAAAAAATACGGAAACATAAGCTGTCATTGAAATCACTATTGCGGCAATCGCAGTTTTCTTCAAGGCAAGTGCGGTGTTAAAGAAGACGAGCCTCCTTTTCGAAATGTTGGCTTCAGCGATATTCTGTGTTCATAAATTTTTCATCAAGGGTTTTCATCATTCCATGTATAGCACCGTTTGCTCTTGTTGTAATAATGTACCAACCAGCTCAGATAGGTGCACTTCTTTAGCTACTCACATTCCATTGAATCCGTGTGTCAGTAGTGAAGTCGCTCTGTTTACTCACTTTGTTCTTGTGTGTGCACAGGGTCGGAGGCGGCGGAGGAGGAGGAAGAAGAAGCGGGCAGTGGCAGGGGAGGCGCTGGTGATGGGGGTAGCCAGGAGTCAGACGAGGGGGCGTCAACACGCGCTCCCCCGACCCCCAGCGTCGGTGGAGGTGGCACTGAGGACGAGCCCCCTGGGGAAGAGGAGGAGGAAGAGCCCCCTGAGACGCCGCCCAAGCCGAAGAAAGCCAAGGCGAAAAAGCGCAAGGGCAAAGGTGGCGACGGCGAACGCAAGAAGGGCAAGAAGAAGAAGAAGAAGCGTGCCGCCTCGGAAGATGAGGACGACAGTGACAGCCAGCTGCTGGGTGGCCACTCGGACAATGACAGTGACTATGTGGTGGACCGCAAAAGCGCTAAGAAACCCCGGCTGGACAAGTCTGCCGACGCCACGGTGGCGGCGGCGGCGGCGGTCGCTGCCGCCCATGCTGTCCAGGCGGCCGCTGGTGCAGGCGAGCCAGAGCAGCAAAAAAGCTCGTTAGAAGTGTGCGAGGAGCTGGGTCTCACGGACGTGCCTATGGAGTACACTGACGCGGACTACCAGAACCTGACGAGCTACAAGCTCTTTTCACAGCACGTACGGCCCCTAATCACTAAGGTGCGTGAAGTGAAATTTGCTGCCATGGTCTATCCTTCTGCCAACTGTGAAGAAGCTTCCGAATATTGTGTGCCTCTGGGAGGAGTGGCACTTTCTTTTTTTTAGGTGGCTCTTGACTAGACAGGATGAGTGTCTCGGAAGGTAAAATGTGATGTAAATGCAAACCTCTGCTAATGAAATGCAGAATTGTAAGCCATCTTTATACACAGTAGGCAGTGCAGAGCAATAGTAGTTTTAAGAGACGTTACCAGGTTTAATAGAAGTGTTGATGTGTTTCTCTGTATCAGTGCTGTTTCTCGCATGGGAATGCTGCCAAATCGCCTAATAACCAGCATCTTGCCTTGTGGCAGGTATTTAAATTACCTGAATGACATCGCACAGGGGAAGCTAGTTTTTACCATAAGTTAACCTTTTGTAATTGTAACTCTTCTGGTGTGAACATTCATTAATGAGGATATTATGCTGCAGGTTCAAAATTATTTATGCGATGCATATCTCTTGTTTACGGAAATACTCGTAGATTTCTCATATATAAAAGGGATGAGCAATACCTATAGTGGGGGTCTAAACTTTCAAAAACTTCCTGGCAACAACAAGTTGTGAAAAGAAAAATATGCAACATGGCTTATTTAGGTAAAAGAATCTTGCCCGTTGTGCCACATAGGAAGTGGAAATGTAGGGCGAGTAGTTTTTTGTACATTGTTACTTTAATCTCTTGTCAAAGGTGCAATGTTTTTGCCAAGTTATATTGAAATAAATGCAAAGTTGGCAAGCAGACGATTTTTTTTTGTGCCGAGTTGCAGGTAACAGCAGTGTGCTTCCAGAACTGACCTATGGTCGAATAATTCAATTGCAGCCTGATGAGTGGCTATTAGATTCCGAACTTAGAGCGGACATTGCAATGGTAAAATTGTAGCTACGCTATGTTTGTTGTTCTGCACGGATCGAGAGCGCAAACTAAGAATTGCAAGATAAGCATTTGGGAAATCATCTTCTACAACTTTGTATGCTGCATCTTTTGTCTTACGAGCATGACTAAGGGCATGTGAGAATTTGATCACATTTTGTTGCCGATCTTTTTCTCGTGTGACTTCACTGCCATGAAGTGACAATACTTCATGTTTAGTAGGCTGAAGTGTGCAGTGTAAAAAAATACAAAAGGAAAAAAAAAGGGGGGGGGGGATAAAAAAAGAAAGAGGTAAGAAATGAGCATCTTGAATCGGAAATAGTTTCTGGAATAGTTGAATTGCTGTACAGGCATTGAGGACGTGGGGAAAGGGACAACTCAACAGATGCAAATTGCAAATGAGTTCAAATATTTTCTATACACGTACGAAAGCGCCTTACAGAAGCATGGCAGATATTTAGAGTGGAAACATTTATTTTTAATCTTTTTTAAATTTAGCTGTTCTATCGGCAAAACATGCAATTTCTCATAAATGACTCAAGCTTCAGTTTTATTTCAATACATGACTGCACATTTTAGGGTAACATTTTTTTTTATAAAGTAGCAGAGGCCTATGTACATAGTAGTGCAGCATTTAATGTCATATATAGTGCCCATTGTTTCTGGAACCAGTTGCTATGCATAACCACGGTATGTGTCTTGCAAATCTCAAGTGCTAAAGCTTAGCTGGCTGTGTTCAACTTATTTTCAGTGCTTGTGTCTTCTTTTAATTAAGCATACATTCTATCTTTATATTCCATCTTGAAAACTTTTGTGCTAGTCTCTGCAGCAGCTCATTCTGTTGCATCTCATAAGCTTAAGTGGTTAAATAGCTTCACTTCAACACTATTTAGTGCACAACTTTAAGTGAACAGCTACTTTAGTTCTAGGCATAGTGACGTAATAAACGCTTGTGAATGACTTACTAATGAGTGATAGCCAAATAGCTTAGATAGAGATCGCAAAGCCACAAAATGTGCTGTGCTTCATAAATGCAATATTTTCACATGTAGCTCAACCCACTTAGGGTTATTCAGTAATGCATCCATTGTGGATTTAAGTTGAAAACCTCTCCTGTCAAGCAGAAAAAGGCTCTGATGAATGGGAATAGGGCAATTAGGAGGAACATATAACACTGTTGTACACACTTTTCATTGCATTCCAAGCCTCTCTTGAGCGGAGGTTATTGCAGACTTGTAACCAATGCATCAGACTAATGCACGTTTTTTTCTACCTAGTGTTAATGCGCCATTCATTTTTTTTTTTGTGCACAGAAATGACGTTTTTCTAGAGTTTGGAACGTAATCGGTGCATTGTTGAAAGATAAATGGATGTTACTATTCAGTCGCAAAAAGAAATGACTATTGTAAAACTGGTCTTCATTTTTGTTTCAACACTGTGCAGTGCCATGCAATGAAGTTGAATGTTGCTGGGCTTTTGTTGTTTCTAATTAGACAGGTCAAAAGGTCAGTAGATGAGATTTGGAATATTGAGATGTCGTGGTGGTTGAGTCACTGTGGTATCATGCTGCCAATCTATGACTGCACTGACAGTCATAGATTTGACGTCCAGCCGTAGGGGCCACACGAGTTTAAAAATTGGAACATGCTCTGTGTATTTGGTCCTTCTTGTGCATTAGCCAACCTGAGAAAGCGTAAATGAGTCTGGCAGCCTCGCTCGCTGGATGTCGCTCATAGCCCCTTCGATGTTCCGATGTGTTGAGCCTCGCAAATTGTTTTCATGTAATTATTTGGCTGTGACAACAAAGAGGAGCAATTCGAATTATCGCGATTCTAAAGGAGAAGAAAAATTGTTGAGAAATCGTTTTCGAAGTCGTTTCAACAAGTAGACTCGTCTTAGTGATAGTTGCTGTGCGGGTAAAGACCACTTGTGCAGACTCTGGCTCCAGCAACATTCCCTGCTCAATCATTTTTCACTACGTCAAGCCTCCGTTTCGTCCTGAACTTCTGCCATGTTTCAAACATGATCTTGTGGGGGAGGGTTTGCAAAGTGCATGTGAGGCAAAAGGAACGAAAGTCCCTCTCACCCGCACCCAAACCTCGCGCCTTTGGATGCAGGCAAACCCGAAGATCGCAATGGCCAAGATAGTGATGCTCATCTCGGCCAAGTGGCACGAGTTCCTGAGGGACAACCCCAACGCCGACGACGCCCTCGATGAAGACGACAAGCCCGTGCGGCAGTCCAGGCCAGCAGCATCCACACCCACTGGTTCCACCAAAGACAATGGTAAGAAGGAACAGCTCAAGGTTTCATGCATTGCTATAGAATAGAGGTGGGTCCGAAACTTGTCTCGGCTATCGGGCCAGTCACAAAATTTATTTATATTTATTTATTTATTACATACTGCAGTCCGTAGAAAAAGCAGGAGGGGCACAAACAGGGAGCATAGCGAAAAAAAAACGAACAAGTTATACAGCAAGTTAGAATACACAAGGCTACTGAAAAACAAGTCATACTAAATAGAATGCTTAGTTATACATATCTAGAAAAAAAAGCGAAAAAACTTCTAGAAATAGTTTCAAGCACAAAAAAGTAATTTAGTTCCGCAAGGGCCGGGGCAGTGAGAGAGGTAGTAGCAGCGCAGCGTAGTTTGTACTAAGTGGCTGCTGATGTCATCTGAAAGGCGGTCTTACCTTCTTCTCATGTACGGATAATTTCTGAAGGTTATTGGACTTCAGAAATCTAGCAACATGTTGATGCTGACCTCTAGAATAACTAAAACATGGGCGTTGATACTGAAAGAAAGACTTTCACGTCATATTTAAACTCTTGATAATGTATGAGGTGCCTCACAAAAATAAATGCTCTAGACCAGTTCATATGCGTGTAGCTCATGAACATACTTGAGAAAGAAAAGGATGAAGACAGTAGAGCGTAGGCCGCGTGTTTGAGATGGAGCATGTGGAACCTCGGTTTAAGAGAGTACTGAAGCAAATTTTTGATGCGAAATAAATTGAGATGGATTTCTGTGGACACGCATGCACCGTTTATGGAATATTGATAGCATATATGTCTAGAAATCAGAGAAAAAAAAAAAGCAAACAAATTGTGTACTTTGAGATAGGTGCATGCTGAAGAATCCCTGGCACCAGCCAAAACCAACCCAGGTTCCCTCAATATAGCATTTCTCTTGACCATAACTTTGTTTTTGCTTGGTTATTTGTTATATGCAAGCTAAAATTTCAATAACATTGTTAGGTGTCCAGCGGTGCCATGGAAATCCTGTGTGTGTGGAAATCCTGTGTTTTCAGGCAGAGCCCAGCCATGCCTGAAAACTTCATGCTCCCGCCCGCCAGTAACTGTGACGATTCTTGCCACAAACAAGATATTTTCTAGACTGTCCTGAGAACTTCTTTGAGTGTCATGAATTCAACTGGTATATTCTGTGTACTTTGGGTAATTATGCCCTTAACACTTCCGGGAAATAATTGCAGAGTAATTAAAGTATAATTGGGTTGTGTCATGTATGCAGTGCTATCCACAAAATCTTGTTTTTTTTTTTTTTTTTCATTTCAAAGAATGAATGAACACTCGCACATTGGAAAAAAAAGGCAGACATTTATAGTCTGAGTCTACATAAATTGCATGCAAGCTGGGTTTGTCGAGTAAATGTGACAAGTCTCCTGTAAGCGTCATTGATTACGCCATGCAATTAAAGAGAAAACGCGCTTTAGATAATTCTTAGAGGACTACTAGGGGGCGGGAACTCCCTACACTTCCCATGTATTCGCTTTCGGCAGCGGCAGACCCGCTCTTACCAATGGCGGTTGCCGAGCATCCTACTAGAAATGAATCTTGAAGAGGAAACTTCTTTTATAACGTCACTGGTGAGGTCCCCCAAAAAGGGAAAAGATGAAAAAGTGAGAGGAGGAGGGTTGTGGAAGTTCTTCCCACTTAGCATGGATGCACAATGTGCTCATGCCTTTTTCTCAGGACCGCTGGCCGCTTGGCCAATGTGGCCATAAAATTTTGTTAATATTTAAATAAAAAAACTTTTCGTGTTTCTTGAAGAGGAGAAAGTTAAGCTGACTAGTTCTCAGTAAGACGATACGCGATCGGCACAAATAAAATGAACTTTTTATTTCACGTTTGTATAAAAAAAAACACACACTTTGGTTGGTTCACACCGGCGACTAACAGCGGTTGCGCGACCATTTGCGTCTGATCTCAGTCTCGAACAGTCGCAAAGCGAATGCTTTGGCTAGTCGCTTCTTCGTTGATATTCAGTCACGTGACTGCAGTCGCAAAACTGCTTGAACCAATCAGCGATGCCCAAAAGGGACACCAGCATTTTTTTCTATGCAGGCTCATTTTTTATTTTTTGCTTTTTCATTGCGCTGGCCTCCTGTCGCCAGATACAAACGAGTGCGGTCCTCTGTACCTGTAACACCATGGCCACCACGGAAGTACTTGACTTGGAGATGACGGAGCGCAGCAGCTCGAGCAAAGTGTCAAATTTACGTGGCGGCATTCGCAAGCAGCTAAACACCGCGAAAGTAAAGAAAAAAAAAAAATGGATTGTGCACTATCTTCCTCCGTATTAAAATCATTTGTCTTGACTTGCCATTACCTTCAATGCTGCGCGTTTGGAACGCGCTTGTGCTTCATGCCTTGGCACCGAATAAAAACACCGCGTACAAGATGCGTTTGAGCTGCATTGGAGGCTGTGGCAGTTCAAGTAAAATTCAAGAAGCGTTTCTGAGTACGTACCACTCTTGAAAATACTCCTCGTCAGCTCGGCTCGAGAGGTAGGCGGCTTGCATTGTCGGACAACTACCGTGAGCGAAGGGATGGTCACAGCCCTTCAACGGCTTTTCTTTCTCTGGAGGGTTCTGTGCTACCAGCGCTGACACCGAGGCATAGCGCAACAGCACCATGAAACTCCCTTGTTCTTCGCTTGAACTTCTTGGCGCTACTGGGAACGCTGTCCGAGGATGGACGAAAAACAATAAATGCGGCGTGCTCGGTTTGCTCTACTCACTCGGCTGGCGGCGATCAGCTGATCGGCGCCGCTCTTCAGAGTTCTCACTGATAACAAGATCCGGACGTGACTCTCCCGTTTTGTGACTTCTGGTCGCTTGCATGCAGGCTCTGCCAGTGTTAACATCAGTCGCTTTTTGGTCGCCAGTCGCAGATGGTCACGCGACCGGTGCTAGTAGCCAGTTTGAACCAACCTTCAGTGTGAAAGTGTCGATCCATAAAACCAGCTTTAATTTACAACTGACATACGGAGGTAATGAGCAAACGTTGAACCCAGAATACCCAACCAATGAGAAAACTACGTATCAACAATCGCGTTTGACTTAGTTCACGTATGTTATGATGGCGCATAGTTTTCTTGCAACTATGCAGCTTGCCAAACTGTGCGACGCAAGCAGGTTGGTCCTCTGCAGACAACCAAGAAAAGATAAACCTAGTGCGTGCAACGTGCATACATGAATTTTTCACAGGAGTAAGGGTTCATGTTTCCAGTTTTGATGTCTCTTACTTATCCCTTAATATCCAAAATATGGCAGAAATGGGGCGAAGAAGCTGAAGGGATGGTAAATTCATAAACTCTGGGTGCTGCAGGAGCCGTCGCACATTTATCCGGTAAAAGGTGCCAATGCACCCGTGCCTATACGCCCCTGCCTCCCCGTTTCAAGGTGTACAGCAGCAAATCATAATCATGAACTTCCTTATATAGAACTCTTACTTCCCCGTGGGAGTTCTTGCACGTTTTTGAGTGCCATGCGCTTCTACATACGAGGGCGCTTAATAATTGGTGTCGAAATATGAAAAACACGCTGTCCGTAAAAATAAGCAAAATTTTGTTTTAATGATGGACATTCCAGGTAGATCCTTAACATTTTGTGTAATTACTAAGTGCTAAATATTTGCAACTGCCTTGCTAGCACAAAAAATTTGCAACATTGCCATCGATTGGTGCCACTGTCATAGGAGTCACTTTACATCTTGTAGTTCAGTGCACCAACTAGAGCTCCTGAGTTATTTATGAGTCGTGTTGAAGAGTCTACAAAGTACACAGGCGTAAAAAGGCTTGGCGAGCTTGCGAGTGTATCTGCACACTCGAAAGGTTTCCTAGTTGGCAGCGTGCACATATTATATAGACTATTATAACATTAGTAGTGTGCCGTTCATGTTGCAGCAGTACCACCTGGCAGACATTTTCCTACGGTGTTCAAATAATAGTCGAAACATATATTACGTGTTTCTTAAAAAAACGTGTAGCATACCCACTGAGCCAAATGCAGACGCCGTGTATTTTCCCAATTTCAATGCATGATAATGCACTCCAGCTGATCTAAATTAGCCGAAGCCCTCAGCTACAGCATCCCAAGTAACCTGGGCCGCTTCGGTATGTTATACCCCACAAAAAAACAAAGCCAAACAGTGTAGATATGCCATAATATCGATATACAGGGTGTTTCAAGAAATGGGTCCAATATTATTTGAAAGCCACAAAAAGGGGGCATCTGTGTTTTACCTGCGGTATTCCCTTTACTTTGGCAGAATGCATGTCAGATGTGTAAAAACAATAATTACGGCAGTAAATATATAAATTAAACCAATTAACTTTTAACCAGTTGAGAAAGCTGGTCGAGTCACACGGGCGAATTAGAGTTATTCCTACGAATAGTCTTAAGCCATTTTGAAATTTTGGAAAGGCGGCAAGTGGTAATCACTGCTGAGCAATGAAATCTGGCTAATATAGCTGGCGAAACCGAAACCGACGCACCAAACAGCACATATTTGGATTGAGCGCGGCCCGGGCCCAATTTAACGATGTCTTACCCGGCCCGACCCGCAGTCTGGCCCGGGCCCATGCAGCGCTCTAATCCTGTGCTCCATATTCGGTCAAATTGGCTTGCACTATGTATGAAGTCAAATTTGCTAAAGTATTAGCCAGTCTGCTTATCTAGAATGTTGTCCCCTTCCTAAACTCGGGGTCCAAAGTGTGTAAATAACAAAACACAAAAATAAGTTCATTTTATCCAAAAGTTTGTTATAAAAGTTTTTCTAACACTATCTTATACGAGAACATTTTTTCTTTACTTCATTACAGGCAATATTTCGTTATATTCTGGTTCGTTATATCGAGGTTTGATTGCAGTATGCTTAAATTTCGTTTCTTATTCTGAAACTTGAAAATGTAAATATGCAGCGCTAACATTCCTGCCTTTGTTTCCTTCACGTGAATGCAGATGGGGAGCGGTCAAGCCGAAGCAAAACGAAAAAGAAGAAGTCTGTGCCTTTACTGAAAATCAAATTGGGTGGCATCGGCAAACGCAAAAAGCAGAGCTCTGTAAGTGTTTGACTGCTATGGCTTATGATCTTTTCTTTTTTTTTTTTGCCTGGTTAAGCATTCCTGTGTGATGTGAAACTATTATACAGTAAAAGCTCGTTAATTCGGATTTGCACGGGACCGGAAAAACTGTCCGAATTAACCGAATGCCGAACTAATGAATGAACAGGGAAAACAACATTTAAAATCAAGCTGCAGAAGCATACCTTTATTTGTTGAAGTATTTTGTAATTGTCGTCTGCGTTTTCAGCGCAGTATTCAGGCTGACATCACAGTTTTTCGTAACTGTTCCAAATGGCCAACAGCACGCAAGCTGCCGGGAGTGTGCAGGCAAGCGTCCTCTAATATTAACAGCGCCTCCGAGACTTCCCGTGAGGTGCGATGAGGTCGCGGCTGTATCTCCTCGCATGATTCTTCGTCGGAATCGTGGTCTTCATGGGCGCCCGTGACATCATTAATAATCTCTTGATCGGTCAGGAGACCACTCGTGGCGACACCATGATCAATCGCGATGTAGTCCTGAAAGGTCACATCTGTGGGAAGGACAGCATCGAAAGTCTGGCAGTCATCGTCGGTAGACTCTGCTGACACCTCCTCGATGCCATTGTCAGCTACTGCTGGATGCTCAGGGCCTCACAGAAACCGCTGTGCCGAAAACAGTTGGCGATGGACTTGCGGCGGAGTGTTTTTCCACACGTGGGTGATGATGTGCACTGTGCCGAGTAAGTCCACTTGATACAACTTTCCAGCTTCTGAGCATAGGATCATTCGCTCTAGCAGGTGCTTGCGATACTTCAACTTCACGTAGTGAATGATACCCTGGTCCATCGGCTGAAGAGCAGACGTAGTGTAGCGCGGCAAAAAAAACTACTTTGATGCTCTTCAGTTCGACTGTACAGTTATGGGCAATGCAGTTGTTAACAACCATAATTATCTTGTGGTCCTTCGACGTGAAGTGCCGGTCCAACTGCTGCAGCCAGCCGCGAGAGACGTCCGATGTCATCCATGCCTTCCTGTTCGCTGTGTACTCGACAGGAAGGTTTTTGACGTTCTTGAAACAACGTGGCTTAAGCGCCTTCCCGACGACAAGTAGTGGCAAGCGCTCCGTGCCAGTCATATTGGTGGCAAGAAGCACAGTTATCCTTTGCTTGCACTTCTTGCCACCAATGCACGCGTCCCCTTTGAAAGTCACCGTCTTGTCGGGAAGAGCTCTGAAAAATAGAGCAGTTTCATCTGCATTGAACACGTCACGTGGTTCATATGCGGCGATGTGCTCCAGCAGCTTCACATTTCTCCACTCGGTGGTCATGCTTTCGTCAACACTGGCCTTTTCGCCGCACACACTCCTGAACACAAGTTCGCGTCTCTCTCGAAACCTCGCAAACCACTCTTCTGACGCTTTGAACGATTCAATGTTCATCATTGCAGCGTACTTCTCACTTTGCGCCATGATGAGAGGTCCGCTCAAAGGTAGATGCGCGTTGCGACAGTTGGTAATCCACCGGAGCAAAGCTTCTTCGAGCTGGGGATGAGCTGCGGTTCGCAACCGCTTTCTAGAGGCATGAAACTTCTCGCTTTCGAAGGCTTGTCGAATCTGTTGTTCATTTTTCACGCACGTTCCCAACGTGCTCCGCTTCACGCTGTACTTGGTCATAACCTGCTGATTCGCCGTTCTTCAGTGCTTCCAAAATTTCCACTTTAGTCGCCAAGTTCTTCGCGTCGTAGTTCTGCCGCTTTTTCGGCGTTGCCATCACTGTAGCGCACGATGGTGGTGGCATGCAAATACGGTCACAATGGAAGAAAAAGAGAACTCTGCAAGAAGAGATGGTTCCGACACGACAATACAAGGGAAAATGGCGTCGGAGGCGCTGAGTGGAGAAGAAAGAAGACGCCGACGTTCGGTGACGCTGCGATTCGCCCCCACTAGTTGATGATGATGGCGATGCCACTCGGGTTTCGGTTTCACTCCAGTGGTGCCAGCGCTGCTTTATCACACTTTGTGTAGCAGCAGCCGTCAGCATTTGTCCGAATTAAGCGGTGCGGAGCCGAACTTTGACGAAATAACGGAGGTTTGGTCCCATAGATTAAAATGCACTTCGCCAGGACCAATAGAGCTGTCCGAATTATCCGAATTTTTGAATTAACGGATGTCGAATTAACAAGCTTTTACTGTAGCATGAACAATTTTTTATAGAGTACTAGCGAGGTGTGTGGTGCAAACGGAACGCAGCCTGAAGCAACGCCGTCCTGATCTTCCTTTCTTGCGAAGTTGGAAACAGCTAAGCACACAAAGCAAGGTGTCTTGGTACGATAATTTTGTGCAATGCAGGCGTTTTCTCTCATTAACGGACTAAGCGTCGTGCTATATGTTTCTATATGTGCTATATGCGCGTACTGCTGGCTTCTCATGTGGCCCAAGCAGGACATGCATGTGTAACATAATACAAATCAGGCAATCGTAAATGTGACTCTAATGCATCATACATAATGCATGATCACATATTTTAATTTTGTTGTAGTTCTGAACAGCAACTGAATGAAAGTGCAAGCAGCACCTCACATCTGACTTAACTATCTCGATTGCTGACTTAGAGATTCGTTTGGTTACATTTGTTGCTTAGCTTAACCAGCTCGTAACTCAACCATAACTTGTAAGCATTCTATTTAAAACCGGACTAAGATAGCCTCTGACCTACAGTGCGTGCTGTAAATGTCAGTGGTGCCGGGATTCTTTAGTGTTATTATTTGTTTTATTTAGCCTACATGCAAAGCTAGCTTTTGGTTTCAGTGTCATTATAGGATGTGTTCTAACCTCAGGAATGCCATAAATGCACAATGCAGCTCACTTGTTGCTCATTTGGCGTGTAAAACAACTTAACGAACTTATGTAACAAATGAGGCACAGTGTCTCTCGACTGTGTAAGAACTTGTTGGCATCTGGTTATGCTAGATTTGGTGTGACAGTGGTTGTGGTGGTAAGTGTTGTCAGTGGCCTCAATTGGAGTTTTGGTTTGGCATCCCAAGCATAGCGTTCCAAGCATAGTGTGAGGGCCTGGGACCTATGGTCCTATGTGGGAAAAAGAGAAGAAAGAAAAAAAAAGTGTGTTAGCATTGGGCAGATGTGATATATACATAAGTCGGTGTGATGGGTCGTGGCAGTGGTGTTATCGTTTGACTGCACACACCTCTGTGTTGTCTATTTTTGTTTCTTATTGTGCACATCTGCGTGCCATGCTTTTTCAACAATGCCCACTCTGCACTTTGCAGGAAGACGAGAACAGTGTGAGCGATCAGAGCGATGCGGATTTTGAGGCTGCGCTGGAAGAAGCGCAGAATATGACTCCTCCCCCGGCTAAGAGCGACAAGGGTTCTTCCAAGAAGGGCAAAGCCAAGAAGGCCAAGAAGAAAAAGAAGACCAAGACGACTGCGAGCTTCCCCAACTCGGATGCAGAGAATGATGGCTACGAGGTGTGTTTGCTCAAAAGGGACAAGAAAGTTTGTTCCCAACTCGTGTTTCCTATATTGTGGAAAGGCAACATGCTAGTACGAGACATGCCACTTGGTGACTTTTAGCTCCACTTTTGTCATGAGATGTTTGGTAAACCGGAAAATGCAGCTAGTAGTGCCACCCTAAAACTTGGGCACCAACTCGGAAGTGATACTATTACAAATTCTTGGGGCATCTTTTAGGGCTTTTTACAATTATTTACTGTGATTATCGTGAACTACATTGTGTCATCAGATGGCCAGAGGTGATACATGGTGAGTATTTGGAAATTTTGTGTAGCCACTGTGGCTGAAATGTATTAGTATGAACAAATTCACGATATCGCACTGTCATTCATGTACTGTGGTTTCTGCCTCAAGTACTTTTAGTACCGAAGCATTTCCTGTGCTGTTTGGAACAAATTAGTGTAGACTAGTTTGCATGTTTCGTGTCAATGTGACGTGTATTTGTAATTAGCTTTGTCTATGTGTATAGCCTCTTTGTCACGGTTTACCGCTTTCTGGTGCTGATGTGCTTTTGTTCAACAAACTTTGCCACGTGCAGACGGATCACCAAGACTATTGCGAGGTGTGCCAGCAAGGGGGTGAAATCATATTGTGCGACACGTGTCCACGTGCCTACCACTTGGTCTGCTTGGAGCCCGAACTCGAAGAACCACCCGAAGGCAAATGGAGCTGCCCACATTGCGTGAGTTGCCGCACCTGACATTTCACTTCACTTGTCATGTGACTCGGCAGCCGGGGTAGTATTGTCCTGCCCTTGCCGCACTCTCCTGTGGGCTTTCAGCAGTATTTTGGCTAATTAATGTAATTCATTCCTTACTCTCAGCGTTGCATTGGGTGTTACAGAGAGGAGTAGACTGACTGCATAGACGTGAGGTCGTGTGGTGAAACAGCTGACAAGGCCGTATAGCTGGTGATTAATATAACCAGGTTTCTGTGCCTGGGGGTTGGTCTGGGCAGGAAAGGGTTGAAAATAGAGCTGCACAATTTGCAGAAGTCTGGGTGCAAAGCAAATTCAAATAATATAGTTTGAGTACACATTGAATAGAATAATTCTCAAATATTCTTCGAATACCTCTGTATGAAATCACAGAAAAAAAAAAGTTATGGTGGGCTTGGAGAAAGGGTAAAAACCAAATAGGCACGTGTGCTGGCGTAACAGGAGGTGTTTGGAACATCACTGACCTCAACTAGTGAATTTGGTTAGTCGTCCTTTGAGGAAGGCGAAGAGAAAATTCTCAAGCATATTGTAAACTAGCCGACCCCTGTACAACGAAGAAGATCGTGCGTGTAAAAAATTTTGAAGGGAAAATTGCGTTGTTGTGAAATCTAAAAAAAAAAAATATAGCTGATCTCAGCTAGCAAAACAAAGAAACTTCTATTTGCAAAGTTTGAAAACTGTCGGCTGTTTCCTTTTCTTACCCAGCAGCGTCAAATCGCGATTCTCATACATGCATAGTGACGTCATGTTCAAAAACGTGCTGATGGCTTCTCTGAACTAACCAAACAGAGGCACAGGCGTGAAGCATGAACTCCGAAGTTACACTCACGTGCCAACACTAGCTATCCGTCGACAAGGTAATCCACGGCGCCGAGATGCAGACATGTTATCGTGGAGCGACGACTTATGCCTTGTTCTATGCTATTCTATCATCCATTAGTTGCGGCTGGCTGATCCTGTTGATAACATGGATGAACTGTTGCTCTAACCATTGGCCGCACTGGCCAAGCGTAAAAATCGGGAAAAGCCCTGGCATCGGAAAAGGCATTGTTCCGTGATTGCACCCCAGGTGCCCAGGTTTCAGCATGGAGAACTGATCAATGGAGCGCTGAGCTTCTTTGGTGTGGTTTGCGACTAAGAAGCAACTCAAGCCAGTGGCAAAAGCAGGACTGTCTCATCGCCGTCACTATCAAGCAATGGTGGCCGCCGTGCTCTGTCAACAGCGGCAGTTTCTGGTGGTGGCAGCGTGCAGTCTGGGCATTGTGGACGTTTTTATGTTCTAAAATGCGCTGAAATGTTTGAGATTGTGTTTGCTGCGTGGCATTAAATATTTGGGTCAGGAATTTCGTCGTCAAATTTCGTTTAGGCAAAAGGGCAGAAGGAAAAGCGTTTGTGGCGAGCATCTTTATGCATTGCTGCTGATAAAGAAATGAAAGTTTTTCATTGTACCAAAAATTTCGTTGAAGCGGCGTTTGTTGTTGCAGGGCTCGACTGTCTATACTAGAAAAATGATAGCTCCAATACGGCATATCTGGGTGCCGCCATTCTGGGCTCGTCGAAAAGGGCATGAAGGAAAGAAAAAGCCCACCTAGAGTCCACAGGCAACATCCTCTGAAGCCTCTTGCTCCGCGCGTTTGTGCTCATTTCCTATGATGCTCCTGTTTCAATTGCTTTTTGGGTGGGCTCGTGAACAGAAACAAAAATTTGCAAGTGCGCACGCCGAGCGTCCACAAGCCAACCTCCTCTGAAGCCGCTCCCCCTTCCACTCCGCTTGTTCTTCATACACTGGGCTCAATTTCCAGCTTGCTCCTGTTTCACCTTTAATGGCTAGGCTTCAAAATTTTTACGCGACGCTTCCTCCTACATTTATCACTCTTCAAATTTCCCTTTTCAGCTCGGTCGTTCATTCGGAAAGCGTACAAAAAAAGCAAATGGTTAAAGTTCATTTCGAGATCTCCGATTGACTGCGTCCGCCACGTTGCTCTAACACGCCTCGTTATCGGTCTGATCATTGCTCCGGAAGAGCATGGCTTGCCGCCTGAGCTGAGCATTGGGAGGTCACGGTTGTCGAAAATTGCTTTACTTAGTGATGCACTTGTACTTGTTCTGTGCCCGCGAGTCGACGATCTTATAACTACGCTTTAGTTTGGCAGCTGCAAGTCCTCGATCATTGCTCTGGTAAGTGGCACTTGGTTTGCATCACCGAGTTTTTCTTGGTGCCAGTTATGGGCGAAAGTACCGTATTTACTCGATTCTACCGCGCCCTCGATTGTAACGCGCACTCAGTTTCCACGACGAAAAAAAAAATAGTAAGACATCGATCGCAACGCACACCCATTTTTCTAGTTGGCCCGCACGATCACACCACTCGGGAAAATGACTCCTTTCGGGAGCGTCTTCCGTTTAAATATGAGGTACGGGGGAAGCTTGTGCCTATCTGATGTGCAACGGAGCATTGCGGTCACTCTAGATTTACCATGGCCCGATGTCAGCAAGCGAACTTGCTTCGCCTCTTCTTCTCGACGGTTGTGGTGCCAGGCATGCCGAAGTAAAGGGGCGTCTGATCGGCATTCCCGATTTGCCCAAGCAGGTAGCCGTTGTTGTGCCGCAAGTTTAGGACGAACCTCTGAAAACTGTGAAGCTTTTCATCGTACTCCTCCGGAAACTTTTCGCATATGCCCGTTCGCCTTCGGAGGGAAAAGCCTTTCCTCTTCATAAAGTTAGTTATCCAGCACCTGCTCACTTTAAACTGGCTCCGCATTAGCCCTTTTTCTAAGGCTAACAGCATAGCCTGCACTTGGAGAAGTTCTGTCGTCACGGGCCGCTGTGCCGCTCACTGCTCAATCACATACTCGCCGAGCATCTCTTGAATTTGCGGAAACCGATCCTGCTGTGGTCCACTGAAGCCTTTATCTTTGCTGTTGACAATCTTCTGCTTTTATTTCCGCCAGTCCCGCACGCACATTTCGGGAACTCTGAACGACCTCGATGCGGCCCGATTTCCGTCCGTTTCTGCACACGCGACGACTTTTCTTTTAAAAGCGGCATCGTGGTGCACTCGTCAAGTTTTTGGAGTCGGTCCTTTCATGGCGTCGATGCTAATGCACTACAAGATGGCGAACTACTCGGAACACGTACGAAGTGCCGCACATGGGAAACACATAGGCAGAAATGGCCAACGCGCCATGCCGACGCACGTAGGAGGCGGCCATTTCAGAAATGCCGATGGCAATAGAATGACCGTATTCATTTTTTTTTTTTGCACTCGATTTTAATGCGCATGCGATTTATGAACTCGCTTAACCGGAAAAAGGTGCGCATTAGATTCGAGTAATTACGGTACAAGTTGGTATTTTTTTTGCTGACTCTGACCTGTCATTGCTGACTCTGACCTGTCATAGTTGCACGCAGTTCTCATTTTCTCCTTTTTTCCTGACAGTATGTTGCCTAATCTTTCACATAATGTATGGCTGCATTTGAACAGGAACTAAATGCAGTCCTCGTTGAAGTTGTCGTGTAGTGCTCCTCACCAAATCAGGTCACGCTTTTAGCATCTGACTCCCCATTGCTGTTGAAAACTTTTTTGATGTTGATGTGTCTGACCAGTGTACAGTCTGCAATGTGCAAAATTGCTCCAAGATTCTCCTGATTTGCAGCTCAAACGTGAGAAAAAGTTGGGGACTGTGCAGCGTGCAATGAAACCAAAAATAGATGTTTTATGCAGAAAGTTGAGAGATTGGGAAACAGCGGAGTGGTTTGGAGAACTACAGGTTTCTCTTAACGATCTGGAGACAAGCAAAAAAGAAATGGATTTGGGCTGGCCAATTAATCTGTAGGGAAGAAACTGGGAATGAGCCAAAGTAGCGGAAAGGATTCTAAGAGATGAAAAATCCAGCCTAGAACAGCAAAGTTATGGTAAGGGGGGTCTAAAGAGGTTTGCGGGCATAAAACTAGGCCAAATGGGAGATTGTTGGGAGATGCTTTTGTCCTGCCGTGGACACTGAATTGTATCCTAATGTTGCTGGGCTAGTTGGCACACGCTTATATACAAGACTTGCAACCACAACAGAAGGTGGCGTCTATATTAGTCCAGCTTCTTAACGTCCTGGAGGTTATGGGGCTTGAGTATTCCGGTAAGACATAAAATAGGCCGAGGTTTAGGATGATTACGATGATACACTCTTTGCACATAGTGTGTTGTCGTCGTGGGCGGTGCTCGTGCCTAATTGTTCGCTCTTTCTCCCGTCGCTTGCGCAGGAGGGCGAAGGTATACAGGAACAAGAAGAAGATGAACACATGGAGTTCTGCCGGGTGTGTAAAGACGGTGGCGAATTGTTGTGTTGTGACAGTTGTCCTGCGGCCTTCCACACCTTTTGTCTGAACCCCCCTCTGAAAAACGTCCCCACCGGAAAGTGGAACTGTCCGCGCTGCTCGGCAAGTGATCACCTCCTCTTCTCTACATTTCATTTTTTCGCTCTGTCTCTTCGCACGCTCGTCTCTTGGGGACCGCTCTGCTCTCACCCTGCGATAGTTTTGTTTTTTTGCTCATTGCGATGCCATTAGAGTTTGCGCTGCAAGCTCTCACAGATTGCCTAGAGAAAAAAAAATAACGTTCCATTTGTGCCTCCTCGACATTTCTGCTTTGAGAGGAGACGAGGATGCAATGAACGCGCATCTCACCGATTAACATTCCAGACATTTTGTTTTATTTTTTTTTCATGTCTGGTGTGACTAACGCCTCTAATGTGCTTTACCTAGAGCTGTGCGTGCCTTCGTTGCAGGATTAGCCTATTGCATCTTGCCAATCTAACCTTCCTAATGAAGTTTTATTGAAGCTAGAGCATCAAAATGACCCTGTTTTTTGTTATGCAATGAACTTAGTGTTCAGATTCTGAAGATGGAGTTACCAGTCCTTCAAAATTTGAAACTGAACGTTAGCTTAGTTGGTTGTATGTTAAATACTCACAGGCACGCCATGTAACGATTGCTTCTGTTGGAAAAAATCAGTTTTCATCTAGCTGGAATTGTGTTGCGTTGTGTACAGTTAGCATTCTAATAATTTCTCTAAACTGTAAAATAGCAGTAGGTAGATAGGTTTATCGGGGTTTATGACATTCTCACTTTCTTAACGCAGAATTCTGAGTTAATAACACTAAACAACACTAAATTAATTGGGATGAGCAAACACTAAACAAATAGGGATGAACCATTTGGTGTTTTTCGAAGTATTTTGTGCTGACTTGCTATTACATTCATTGCAAAATTGGCTAAACTGACACTCCGCCAATGAGCAAAGCAGTTGTTTCGTATTGTTTCACAGACTATTGCTGCAACCAAGGCCTTATTCTGACAGCTCCTGTCTATGAGCCTGGCTACATTTAAACAGGCTTTGCCTTGTATTACTTTTAAGTGTTTTACTTGAAATCTTAGCACCTGGCTTCTTGGGTTTTTAGGACTTTGGTTCTGAGGCATTGGTTTTCCTGCACTTGCGCCACGCTCTGCACAGCTTACATTCCTCTAGATTTTTATAGATCACAGGGCTGTAAATGCGGTCACTGACCAAGTGAGGGTGAAAAAAGCGGAGACGTTTCGGGACCCATACGGGTTCCTTGTCCCCACACAAGGTACCTATATAAGGTGTCAAAGTGTTTCTTCAACTTGACGTGGTCAGTGACCGGATCTACATTCTCTTCATGATACCAGACCAGACAAACTTTTGTTAAACTTTTTTGACTACACTCAAACCTCAATATAACGAACCCGTATGTAACAAAATGTTGGTTACAACAAAATGAATGAAAAATAGCTATGCAATATAGTGTTAGGAATATACCTTTATAAGAAATTTTCGGATATAATGAACTTATTTTCGTGTAAGATGCAACTTTGTTATACTGAGGTTCAAGTGTACTTCTATAAATCACTAACGCAGGGACACACCACGGTGGTCTAGTGGTTAAGGTACTCGACTGCTGACCCGCAAGTCGCGGGATCGAATCCCGGCTGCGAGGGCTGCATTCTCAATGGAGGTGAAAATGCTGTAGGCCCGTGTGCTCTAGATTTAGTTGCATGTTAAACTCCAGGTTGTGGAAATTTCCGGAGCGCTTTACTACGGCATCTTTCATAATCGTATAGTGGTTTATGGACGTTAAACCCCCACGTATCAATGAATCAATCACGTAGCAGAAAACGTCTTTTGCTGCATTAGACTCATGGAATTCACAGAGCTTGAAATTTAGTAATTGCACGCACAGAGATTTTAAATATGCATATACCGTGAAAACCGGAAAAGAGAAATATAAGTAGAGCCCTCCCCCCAACTTCAGCTACGAAAAATTGGAAAAGAATAAAAGGTACATAGCAGGGCCGGAGTAACAGAAGGTGCTTTAATTAAACGTAAAACAGTTTCAGAATGTTCGACAGTCAAAACACCATTCATTCAAATCTGTGTATAGAAGTAAGCTTCAGATGGCAGAAAGCTAAAAGGTGGGCTCGAAGCGTTATCTTCATAAAACGTCGCAACTGTCTTGGCAGCCTTCATTTGGATGCGTTTTGAGGTCATCAGTGGTAATAGCGACATGAGAGTGTGGCTTCCGGATAAACTCTGAAACCTCTGTCTTTACCAGCTTTAGATTACGCTGCGGTCTGCCATCAGAACAAGGCTTTCTTCTGATCACTGCGTATTGTCGTGCGATTAGTGTCCACCAGTAATAAAATTTGCGGCATATCTGCGTGCCTCCCTGTGAAGGACATCGAAAGACGGTAGTCTTCTGTCTGGAAAGAGAGGAATAAAACATTTATTTGACATTCTGCGCAGGATCAGTGAGTGCTGGGTCAAATATGGCGCCATCTGGCAATAATGTGAAGGGAACTAAGGTTTTTTTAGTACGATGAGCTACTGGTGGGCGGCAGCACCTTGTTGTTTTAGCGAAGTGTAGGAAACGCCTGCTTTTTTGTTCATAGCGTCACATTGTCGCACCTTTACACATTTAAAAAACTCTGCGGTGATAGAATTACGTATACAGTCGAGCCCGCTTATAATGAGCCCTAGCGTGATGCGGCATCCGTTAGCTGTATCCCGAAGTTCATAGTAAATGAAACACGGCTTTTAAAAAAAAGTCGCGAGTGAAAACACAAACTTATCTTGCCCCAAAAAGTCTGTGATGCACGTCTTTCGAAGAGCAGAAGCGATAAGAGCGGTCTCGAGTTCATTTAAAACGGCAGGGTGCTCGTTCGCCAAGGCCCATGGCATAAGCTGCATGAGGCATTGGCTCCAAAGTTTCGTCGTTGTCGCAATCCCATTTCTTCAAATCGTTCTCGCCACGTATTTAATTCACAATGCCCCAATCCGTGCACGGCTCCGCAGTGTCGGCATCATCATCGGCCGTAATTAAACCATCGCAACAGATGTCCCACCCACTCTCCCAGGTCGGAGTTGACGACGCGCTGCCACAAATCGCCGCCGCAGTTCGGAAGCTTCAAGCTCGGCATCGGGCCCGACGTCGACGAAGTATGCCCTGCGAAAACAGTTTCGCGCGCATGTAGTCATCACCGCCGCCCACTAATTATTCACCATCTCCACAGCTGAATACCGGGACGCCAGAAGTGGCAAGTTGACTGCAAGGTGGTCAACAGCCATGAGCAAGCGCTCCGTAACGTGGCACATAACTCGCGGATTATGCTCAAGCCAAGCGGTCACGCTTTCGACGTTTTGTTGAGTGGCAGGAAAAAGCGTGCTAGTCCTCCCCCCCGTCTGCCATCCTGATCACACACACACACCAAGAGCGAGCAAGACGCGCACACGCAACATACATGCCAGAATGCGTGGAACAGTTCCGGGCCCGTTTCCAGTCAGAAAACGAAACTAATTCGAGCCAGCGTGGCGGGCATCGCGGAGCGTTGGAGATAGGCGAAGGCATATTCTTCCTCCGTGGGCGAAGAGGTTGTGATAAGAGAGCAGAACAGATTTGCGAGAGAAGAGCAAGGAGTTGTGGTAAAGAGAGGGGAGGATGCGGCGGGAGGGCGACCTTGAAAATCAAAGCACACGGGAAGGAGGCAGGTTGGGTAGCTTGCTTGAAAGGTCCTCGAAAGTCGCTCATAAAAATAAACTTGGAAAGAGTGCCTACACGTGCATAAGTCGAAGCACGGCTGCCTGGATCGGTGCGCGCGGCGGTGTTTGAAGAATCGGCGGCCGTGGTCAAAAAATCGTTTTGTTACGCTAGCGGGTTTGCGTTGCCTCACGAACTTTGATATTTCGCAATTCGTTTCGTGCAAATTAAAAGCCGTTTTCACGCTTCCACACTGGCGAGCAAGGCTGCTGAGCTATGTGCGAAGTCAGCGAGAACTAGTCCTAAACACGAAACGAAACGTGAATTATCAGAGTAGGTGGGGTAGCGTATGCGCGTGCACTAGACGCAAACTATCGGATACAGCCGGTGGCCGACGATATTGGCAAACGGTGGTGACGCCAAGGACAGTACCAGCGATCAAAAAAAAAAAGGGTAGATGGCCGACCGGTCTTCAAAAGATCGGTGGCATTGTGAAAACACGGGCCTCGTCTGGCGATGCGGGGTGCTCAGAGTAGAGGGGGGTGGAGGAAGGGGACAAAGGATAGAGGGGTGCGTAACAAAAAGCAGTCTGGGCATGGAAGAAGGAAACGGCTTTCCTTTGCCCATGGGCTGGGGAGAGCGGCAACTAGAGGGTCGCGGAGGCAGGGTTGGCGTTTAACAAAAAGAATGTATGGCCACCTCGTCGATGCCTGATGACCAGTGGTCGAAAGTGGTTTCCCGGAGAGTTCGCAGACCGCCGACTCCGTTCGCTGTAACCAATCAGCGGCGCTCGTAGACGGTTGTTGTAAGTGCGATTTTGTGCCATTGAACCAATGTATATTTTCACGGTCACGCGGATATTGCTTGTTTTAAGCGAAAGTTCGTTTTAGGCGAAAGTGGGGTTATTATATGTAAGCTCAACTGTATAAGCATTCTTTTAATAAAGAAAAGCACTGCCTAATAGTTGCGCATTTATGTTGTGCCTCAGATGTGCGTAATATTTGCTTTTTGATTGACAGTGATCACAAGTATGGAACGCAGCTACCAGATCAAGCTGTATGGGTGTCAAGGGCTTGAATTTTTACCGGGTGGCTGAATCGTTGGACACACAGGCCGACAGACAGGCACAAAGACAGACAGACCAAAATTTCTGTTAAGAAAGACTGTTGTCTCTAAAGTTGCCTTTGTGGTGCACTTGATCTACCCACTGATCATAGGCATACGTGCCGCTGTAACTAGGGCTGCCGGTATCGCGGGAAGAAA